TAGCCTTTTACTACTTTTAACTAGTGTTTTGCTAAGTTTAGGTAGCTTTTGCGACTTTTAACTAGTGTTTTGTTACTTAGCGAGGCTTTAGCAAGCATTTGGTTCTTTTTAGCCTTCAGCTGGTGTTCTACTTTTTTTAGCTTTAACAAGTCAGCTTCAGCTTTTTCAGCAAGTTTCAGCTCTCAGCGTTCTTACTGCAGCTTTAGCTAATTTTACATGGAAACTTTAAAACTAATGTTACAAACCAAGTTTCGAAATCTGCACTGACGTAGATATTTTGTGTGCGTGTTTGTTGTTGCGATGTGACCCTGGTCCCCGTTGGACCTCGTTAAATTGCAGAAAGCTGCACCGAAGGCCGACACATGTTTTCTCAGAGCCTGTGTGTTGCACGGGAGAGAAAAAAAATGTACACTCCACACCCACTTGTTGCCCTTCGTGAACCTTCATGGTCCTCAGCCATACCTCGACTGTGTGGAGAGGACCGCAGGAAGGAGAAACATCTGCAGGAGGAACCTCTCCTTCTGCTAAATAAACAAACCGATGACACATTCCTGTGGTGTTCTCTGTATTTGCTTTTTTGGACCATCTTGTCATTTAAAATTATTTATATCTTTTAAAATATTTACAGATTTTACATATGCATAGTCAGTACCACATGCCAAACGTTGTCTGAATTCCAACCTGAAGTCTCCAACAAAGAGCTGCACAGCAGGAAAAATTGGTTTAACAGCTGCTTTTAAAAGGAAAAAAATGTGACTCTTATCAGCAGTTTCGTCAACACACGCTGTGGCGAAAGACTCGAGTTTAAGGTCAGTCATGTGTGAACTTTTCTTTTATATTCGCTCTTTGTTGAAGAAAAAAACCTAGTTCATGATTAACAGCTGTAACAACAGCAGGAAAAAAAGTGATAAAATGCAACTTAAAAGAAGAGATGTTCTCAACGAGCTGTGAAAGCTTCATGATTTACAGAATTGAGGTGTGTTTCTTGCTTCTTTATCACTAAAATCTTTTTAAACTTCATAAATTTCATGTTTTAGGCAACAAGAGCAGCTGACATGTTCCAGCTGTCTCCTCTCATCTTCCTTTGTTCTACTCCTGCAGAGGTTTGAGCTCGCTCCTGGACTTTTTTAACGTCATGGAGCTGTTTAACTTTTTTTTATTGTTGTTGTTTTCCATCTTCTTAGTCTCAGAGGCGTGTGCCAGATGCCTGCTTTTCTTCAGAGGGGCCCTCAAATTCAAATCAGAGCAGCTGGGAAGTGCTTCAGCAAGAGGAAGAGGAGTGGCCGAACATCGGGGGAGATTTTAAAGACATAATGGGGGTGAGGGGGGTGAGGGTGGGGGTCGTAATGTGGCACACGCCTTTAACAGAGAAACCCCAAACCTTTCCATCTTTGATCCAAACAGGCGTTGTGAGGTCTGCAGGATGGGGGTTTTCCTGCACATATGGCTAGTTTTTTTTTTTTTTTTTTTTTCCTGTGGGTGTGAAGGCTCAGGAGCAGGGTGGGGAGGAGGCGGCTGAAGTGACAGCAGGTCGTCTGATGCAGCAGGGCTTGTTGAAGGGGAGCGAGGCTGACACTTTTCTTTGTTAGATAACAGCCCCGGCCTGCATTCATTCAATGCCAAGATGTGATTTTCTACAGTGTGATGCTGACCCTGGCATTTCAAATAGGCTCACAATGAAAACATATTTATAATATTTGCAGGCGACAACGCAAATCATTTAAATTTGCAAAGCTCAGCAGCTTTTGAAAACTCATGGAGCTCAGAGCTTTTATGCTTTCCACCCAACTATCAACGTATTTGTGATTTCAGAAAGTCTTCAGTCCTGGTGTTTTTCTCAGTTTGTAGCATCACAGTGTTCATACTCACTTGCAAAAGGGCAGAAAGTAGAGTAATTGTGACAAAACTCCATCTCCTGATGGTTTAGAGGTTAAAGGTTAAAGTTGTATATTAGATTTAAAATCAACTCTTCTCTTCAGCTGAATGTTGTTTGAGCGTTATGCTAACAGCTATTAGCATGTTGGAAAGCAAATGTTCAAATTCGCTTCAATTTTTTGTTTGTTTGTTTATGTGGCCAAAATCAGTCAATGCCACAACTGGCCCGGTTGTAGCTTGGCTTATGTGGTTCAAATCTGTCAGTGCCACAAGTGGTCCAGTTGTAGTTTGGTTTATGTGGTCCAGATCAGTCAATGCCACAAATGGCCCAGTTGTAGTTTGGTTTATGTGGTCCAGATCAGTCAATGCCACAACTGGCCCAGTTGTAGTTTGGTTTATGTGATTCAAATCTGTCAGTGCCACAATTGGCCTGTTTGTGATTTGGTTTATGTGGCCTAGATCAGTCAATACCACAAATTGCCCAGTTGTAGTTTGATTTATATGGTTCAAATCCACCAGTGCCACAACTGGTCCAGTTGTAGTTTGGTTAATGTGGCCCAAATCTGTCAGTCCCACAACTGGTCTGGTTGTTGTTCAGTTTATGTGGCCCAAATCTCTTCTACCC